GCCGCCCCACATTCTGACGCTCGGCTCTGAATTTCGGCGTTCGCCCGGTCAGCCGGTTCCCAATGATTATCCACTTAAATCGTGAAGTCGCGAGCAATTATGTGGGGGTGCGAGGGTTAATTCGATAATTGCATTATATTCCGTTGCGAGTAATTGCCACCTTTCCGCAAATGCAAATCCCTCTCTGCCGCGCGGTACCCGCCAAACTTGCCGCTGCCCAACTACACAAAACGAGGATACCTCATTTTATATTATCTCGTCTATGTTACAATCTTTTCGGTGCATCCTACGGCAATCAACATAAATCTGTCACTGAGAATATGCAATGGATAATAATGGACAGTTGCATTATTATCGCAGCTTTAAATTTTCCCGTGACAGAATTTCATATTGCAGTAAAAAAAATTAATGCAAAGAGAAAGATGATTTCCTTCTCTTTACTCTCTATTTATATTTATGAGAAAAAATGTTTAATATTCGTAATTAATCATATTTAGAGAAATGATTACTATAAATTGTGGTTAAGAAAATCATCTTTTTCTTAAGTTTTACTACATAATATTAGTAACAATAATAACGTTATATAAACATTACTATTATAACTCTCGCGTGCGTGTTATTAAACAATCACAAAATATAATTAAGGCTAAAAATAACTATAATTATCACTCACCAAATAAATATTTTTTTTTATTTCTTAGCTATATTTTTAGTATGTATTTTCCTATAATTTTTATTATTGCTATGTTTGATAATAAAACATTCTTGACACTGTCGTAATATGTGCTCATACATTTTGTAAAAGAAATAATTTGTCAAAATCAACTATTCTTCTCCAGAGATGAATTTATGAGGAAAATTTATCAGAGGAAAATGATTTAATTTTAACGTGACATAAATATGAGATCTGTTAATCACATAAGAGAGATTTTTCTTTGTCTTGTGCGATTTTGTAATGATTGTTTATTCATAACAATGTTTGCGTTATATTTTATAGAGAATGTTCAAACTAAGAAAAAAGAATCGAATGTATCTAAACGCACACATGTACGTCAATGTCAACGCGTTTTAAATATTTTCTCTTTAGCGTAATTAATTAATGATAGTAAATAATAAAATAGATAACGTATATATACTTCTAACAACAGAAGATATCTTTTAAATGAAGAAATGTATATTTTTTCTTAGAACCTTAACTTTTTATAAAGGCGATTGTTTATTCCATTTAGATGAGATAATTTAAACCTAAGTAAATATGTTATTATCAATATAAATGTTATTATAAATAAATTTTTACTACTTTTTTTAGATATTTTTTGTCTCTCCAGAGATAACTTGATTTATTTCCTTCGTTTTGTGCGTTTGCACACGTTAAAGTCACGATGTAGCGTGTACACTTTGTTTATTCTCACGACTGTGCACTTCCCATTTTATCTTCTCACGCACTTGCGAATTAATATCGACGAGCACGAATCCCGCGCGCGCGCGCGTCAAATTGCAGCGAGAGCATCAGGCGCTTCGGCGATGAGAATAAACGGAAGGGAAGAGCACGAGGTGTAAGAGAAAGAAGCAGAAGAGACGAGGCAGTAGAAGAAGAAGAAGAAGAAGAAAGGAGCGAACCGAATCGAGCGCGTTCGGCTGCAAGCGAAGGTTAAAGAGGGGAGAAGCACGCGTCCGCCACGCTCCCCGTGCGCACACCTGGGGCCAGTTGGCCAGCGTAGGCCCTTCTACTATGGGCCCACAACCAATGTCCAATTATTAACAAATTATGATCGCGAAATTGGGGAGTCTTCCGGAAATACGGAAACGAGAGAGCTAGGAGAGTTAGAGAGAACAGAGAGAGGGAGAGGGGGTTGTAAAAGCGCCTCTGTATCACTAATATCGTCGACGAAATATCCCGGATCATTGTTTCTCCGAAGGATCCGTCTTCACAGTTCTTGGATTAGCCGCAACCATCGGAGACCTTTAAACGGCACTTGTTGCTGATATGAACATGCGAATCTTCTGAAAAAAAGAAAGACATCTTGTTGCACAAGTAAACGAATCTTTACTAACGAAGTCCCATTGTTAGAAAATTCATGTGCGGAAGCGAAAAGGTGCTGGCTCTTCTAGGTGGACCCGATAAGGTTTGAAGGCACTCGTACGATATCGCACCGGAGGAAGCAGAATTAGTGGAGCGAATTTCCTTCCCGAAGACCAACCGCTCGTAGTTCCTTCCTCGTGATGGGAATTCCCCTAAAGTCCTTACATGAAATTTCACGAAGCACCTGCATCTCTTTCTCTCTCTCTCTCTCTCTCTCTCTCTCTCTCTCTCTTTGCATGTGCGCGTGTCATTATACACATTATTTCTTTCACTGTATGTGCACTCAACTGCATAACTGAATAATATTGACACGAACAGCATTTGGACGATTGCAAGTTTACCATCAATTTATCATTAATTAATCGTTTATTCTTCGACCAAGTTATTGCCGCTTAATCGTTTAATCGTCAAGACCCAGCGCTGCTCCCGCGTTCGAATTGAATCGTTCGAT